TCTTCCAGGGGCATCTTCCAGATCAGTTTGTACTTGCTGGTGGTGTCAATCACGCTGGCTGCCGTGTAACTGGAAAGAAACAGATCTGGGTGGGTGGCCGTGTTGGTCTGAAGCAACAGAACCGAGTTCGAGTCCCCTGGCACCTTTAAGACCAGCAAAGCTTTATTCTGGGTATAAGCTTTCGTGCGCACGCACACTGCTTTGCCATGTTGAGTACTAAGCGTGACCACTGGGTGGCACTGCTGGCATATCTTGGAGGAGCGCATTCTCCCCCCTTCCTCCCATTCTTTGAGGCTCACACACCGGAAGAGAAAGGCCTGTCCTAGTCTTGTAACTCCTAGAGCAGTGATGGCGAACCTTTTAGAGACCGAGTGCCCAAACTGCGACCCAAAACCCTCTTATTGATCGCAAAGTGCCAACACGGCAATCTAACCTGAATACTGAGGTTTTACTTTAGAAAAAACCACTCACACATTAACTTAAGATGATCCAAACAAAGTAAGGAAAGCAATCCCAAATGCTTTCATTTACTTAAAATCAGGGCTATTTTTGGGCAGGAACGCACAGGAACGGAGTTCCGGCTGGCTCCCTAGTTGGCCACGCCCAGCAGGAACTCATTAGCATAATAGGCCACACCCAACAGCAGAAACTCATTAGGATTGGCTACATTAGGGGTGTGTGGCCTAACATGCAAAGGAGTTCCTGCTACCAAAAAAAGCCCTGGGTTTTGACAACAAATAAGATAAACAGAATAAGAAGCAAAAGGTGGGTGTGGCTGGATGACCACACTTCTGCTAACATGGGGGTGCGGTCTAATATGCTCATGAGCTGAGTTGTCAGGGGTGTGGCCTAATAGGCTAATGAGTTGCTGCTGCTGGGTGTGACCTATTATGCTAATGAGTTCCTGCTGGGCTTTTTCTACGGAACAAGCCCTGCTTAAAATTATTTGGCAGAGAATTCCACACTTTAATGACGGTCTGGGCCTGGCTGGGGTGATGGCCCGCGTGCCCGCAGAGAGGGCTCTGAGTGCCACCTCTGGCACCCGTGCCGTAGGTTCGCCACCACTGTTCTAGAGGAGGACTAGATTTTTGAGACATGGGAGTAAATGCTAATACAGGCAGGTTTTTTTAAATCAATGCTCGCCACGCCGTCTTCGCATTCCAAAGCTGCCCCCAAGCTCAAAAGGGTTGGGGAGACCTGCTCTGTACTGTCTGAACAGGAGCGGATGGCTTGGGGGGGGGGGCGCAGCTCTCAGAGGTGATGGGTCAGCTGTGACTTTCCGCCAACCACGAGCCACTTCGAGGGGACGCTTTACGCTTGGCCCGAAGAACTTTCCTCCTCCCGACACATGAACGACGCGTTTCACAGACGGCTGGCTTACAGGCTCATGGAGCTGCGCCGCAGAGACCCAGACTTCCGCTTCAGCGTGGTGCAAACCAGCAGGTCCGTGAAGAGAAACAGAGAGCGGTCCTTCTTGCCCCCGATGGCTTTCTGCAAAGGGACCCGACAGAGAGCAGGTAAGTGCACAGAGGAGGAGCTGCGGTGGCTCAAGTGGTTAAGACGCTGAACTGCAGGCTGTGGAAGGTCGGTAGTTCAGCAGTTCGAGACCCGGGTGTGCCGCGTGACGGAGTGAGCTCCCGTCTCTTGTTCCAGCTCCTGCCAACCGAGCGGTTCGAAAGCAAGACATTGCAAGTAGATAAATAGGTACCGCTTCGGTGGGAAGGTAACAGCGTTCCGTGCGCCTCGGTGTTTAGTAGACGCCGGAAACGTCTTGGGACAGCCCTGGCTCTTCGGCTTGGAAACGGAGATGAGCACCGCAACCCTAGAGTCGGACTCGACTGGCTTTCGAGCAAGGGAACCTTTACCTTTAAGTGCACAGACACAGACACCCTTTCGTGTCGGAGAATCGTAGCATCGGAAGGGGCCACGCCAGCCGTCGAGTCCAGCCCCCACCTCAAGGCAGGATCAGCCTAGAGCAGGGGTGTCGAACTCATTTGTTATAAGAGCCGGATCTGACATAAAGGCGACCTTGTCGGGCCGGGCCGTTCGTGTCATGAAATGTAACGCCAGGCGGCTGAGGTATAAACTTTATAAAGGACACAAACACAAAAGGGTGTTTTTTTTAATACTTAAAATAAGAACATAAGAGACGCCAGTGTTGGATCAGGCCAAAGGCCCCTCCAGTCCAACACTCTCTGTCACACAGTGGCCAGAAATACCAGGTGCCATCAGGAGGTCCACCAGTGGGGCCAGGACACTAGAAGCCCTCCCACTGTTGCCCCCCCCCAGCACCAAGAAGACAGAGCATCCCTTGCCCCAGAGCCCCTATCTATACCTTGTGGCTAATAGCCACTGATGGACCTCTGCTCCATATGCTTATCTAATTCCCTTTTGAAGCCATCCATGCTTGTAGCCCCCACCACTTCCTGTGGCAGTGAATTCCATGTGTTAATCACTCTTTGGGTAAAGAAGGACTTCCTTTTATCCGTTCTAACCTTCTAACCGTTCTAACCTAAAAAAAACATGCTTCAAACGTTAGCCCTCTTGCAATATTCTGTTTATTTAAGAGTGCCAGATAACGGAACCTCTTGCGCTGAACGATTGCCTCAAAATGCCTGTGCTGTTGCAATCTTCGGTGTGCCGTTCAGGTGTGTTATCTGTAAGCGGCTACCCTACGATGACGCAGCAGCAGCAGAACTGGAAGAAGAGGCAGTAACCATTCTAACCTAAAAAACATGCTTCAAATGTTAGCCCTCTGTTTATTTAAGAGTGCCGGATAACGGACACCTCTTTCTCTGAAAGATTGCCTCAAAATGCCTGTGCTGTTGCAATCTTCAGTGTGCCGTTCAGGTGTGTTATCTGTAAGCGGCAACCCTACGATGACGCAGCAGCAGCAGAACTGGAAGAAGAGGCAGAAGACAGACAGTTCCACTGCGGGCCTGCCCTCCGGGGGCCTGATCCGCCCCCCCGGGCCGCATGTTTGACACCCCTGGCCTAGAACATCCCTGACCACTGTTTGTCCAGATGCTGCTTAAAGACTGCCAGTGAGGGGGAGCTCGCCACCTCCCTAGGGCAGCTGTTTCCACGGCTAAACTACTCTTACTGGGGGGGGGAATCCTGTTATCTGGACGGTATCTTTCCACCCGCAATTTAAACCCATTCTTGCGAGTCCTCTCCCCCTGCTGCCAACAAGAAGAGCTCCTCTTCTAAGTCACAGCCTTTCAAATACTTAAAGAGACCAGTCATCCTGAGAGAGCTGCTTGTTAGGGTATAGCAGTTGGAGTGCTGGTGCTCGGACCAAGGAGAGTGGCGTTCAAATAAGAACACAAGAGGAGCCATGTTGGATCGGGACAACGGCCCATCCAGTCCAACACTCTGTGTCACACAGTGGCCAAAACCCAGGTGCCACTCAGGAGGTCCACCAGCGGGGCCAGAACTCCAGAAGCCCTCCCACTCTTGCCCCCCCAAGCACCAAGAAGACGGAGCACCACTGCCCCAGACGTAAGAACATAAGAGGAGCCATGTTGGATCAGGCCAGTGGCCCATCCAGTCCAACACCAGTGGGGCCAGAACTCCAGAAGCCCTCCCACTGTTGCCCCCCGATCCAACATGACTTCTCTTATGTTTTTATGATTTCCCCCCTCTGTTGTTTTCTTCTGTGACCCTCTTTCCTTCATTTGCCCACCTGTTCTTTTTCTCATCCCTCCTCTTTCTCCCTCCACCCTTCCCTAAAATGTCCCCCCCCCTCTGTTGTTTTCTTCTGGGACCCTCCTTCCTGGCCCTGTCTTCAACTTCCCTTCTGCTGCTGCTTTCACTTTCTGCACCGAAGCTGTACTGTCTGTCGACATTCCGTGATCGCGCCTTTCCCTTCTGCATGTTTGCAAGCAGTCCCGAATATCGCAGCAGCCCGGCTGGATGGCAGGATGCACGGGTTTGCTAGCAGGAGGTGCCAGTTTGTTTGCTTAATGCCTAATTATAAGGCAATAAAGCCGGCTAACGACCCTAGGGGGATGCGAGAAACAAACCAAACTTAATGCCGCTCAAATCCGTGCAACCGAT